CAAACCTTGAACTCTGAATCAGATAAACGATATCTCTTTGATAGACACTTTCGTTTTTTTTGTCTTTTCAGAACGAATCGCAGTTTAAGCACAGATTTTTTTCACGTGAGGTAAGTCTATGGCGTGTAAAAATTATGAGAAATTTTGACCAATATATTTGACTATTCTCTTATGGCCCTTATTGTTAATATTCAGATGCTTACTCATAAATTAGCTAAAGATTTTTATTAGAGACCTCTTGTAACAAAATCCTCAACTTATAACGTTAAAAGAGGCTCTAATGTACGACAATACATAATTTCATCTATTCAAAATGATGTGGTCATGAAGCCAAATAAAAGAATACCGGTGGTTAGGGTTACCCGACCGATGTTTTTTATACGCCCACATTTTCATGTGGACGTATATTGTCGTCGCCCCTGTTTGTCCGTCCGTCCGGACGTCCGTCCACAATTTGTTTGTGGACACTCTACAGGTCACAATTTTTATCCGATTTCAACGAAACTTAAATTATATCTTTATCTCCCTGAGATCTCGGTCCCTTTCAATATTGACATGTATCGAACCATAACTTCATGAATTATGGCCCCTGATTGTACGAAAAATCACGTTTTTACCTTGTGGACACTCTAGAGGTCACAATTTTGATCCGACATTGATGAAACTTGAAATGCATGTTTATAATTAACCCAAAGATCTTGGTTCCTTTCGATATTCGCGCACATCGGATTGTACCTTCCTGAATTATGGTCCCTGATTGTACGAAAAATCGCGTTTTTGGCTTGTGGTTCCTCCAGAGGTCACAATTTGTATCCAATTTCGTGAAAATCGGACCAAAACTGACGGACAAAATGGACGCCGCTTGTACGCGAATAGTGTAAAAATATGGTATATCAAGGTTGTGGACTCTGTAGAGGTCACAATTTTAATCCGATTTTGATGAAACTTGAAATGCATGTTTATAACCCAAAGATCTTGCTTCCTTTGATATTTGCGCCTATCGAATCTTAACTTCCTGAATTATGGCCCCTGATTGTACGAAAAATCACCCTTTTTAGCTTGTGCGTCCCTCTGGAGGTTACAATTATTATCCGATTTAAAAAAAAAACCGTTTGATTATATCACTGTTACATCGTTATAAAGGTTGAGTTCGAATGTCATGAAAATCGGACCAAAACTGCCGGATAAAATGGCCGCCGCTTGTACGCGAATAGTGTAAAAATATGGTGTATCAAGGTTGTGGACCCTGTTGAGGTAACAATTTGAATCCGATTTTGATGAAACTTGAAATGCATGTTTACAACCCAAAGATCTTGGTTCCTTTCAATATTTGCGCATATCGGATCGTAACTTTCTGAATTATGGCCCCTGATTGTACGAAAAGTCGCCTTTTTTCGCTTGTGGTCCCTCTGAAGGTCAAAATTATTATCCGATTTCAAAAAACGTTTGATTATATCACCGTTACACCGTATTGAAGGTTGAGTTCGAATTTCGTAAAAATCGGACCATAATGTAAGTTTCTGGTATATCAAGGTTGTGGACCCTTTGGAGGTCACAATTTTGTGCCGATTTTGATGAAACTTGAAATGCATGTTTATAACCAAAGATCTTGGTTGTTTTTGACATTCGCGCATGTTGGATCGCAACTTCATGAATTATGGCCCTTGATTGTACGAAAAATCACATTTTTAGCTTGTGGACACTCTAGAGGTTACAATTTTGATCCGATTTTGATCAAACTTGAAATGCATGTTTATAACCCAAAGATCTTGATTCCTTTCGATATTTGCGCATATCGGATCGTAACTTCCTGGATTATGGTCCTTGATTGGTCGAAAAATCACATTTTTAGCTTGTGGATTCTCTAGAGGTCACAATGAAGGTTGAATTGGAATTTTGGGAAAATCGAAATGAAACTGCCGACAAAATGGCCGCTCTTTGTATGCAAATTGTATATAAGTATGTAATTCAAAGGTTATGGACCCTCTAGAGGTCACAGTTTTTATCCAATTTTGATGGAACTTAAAACATATCTTTATATTCCAAAAATCTCAGTCCCTTTTGATATTTGCGCATTTCAGACCATAACTTTCTGGATTATGACCCCTGATTGTACAAAAACTCGTTTTTGTTTTTAGCTTGTTTTCTATCCATCTCTTGCAAAATGTGGGCGTATCCTGACTGGCAGCCGCTGGTCTTTTACTACACAGGATTCTTTTGGAGACAAATACCCGTAAACACAGGTATTATTTCGGTGGGGGTACCCATACCAATTTTTCCTTTGTCTAATTACAGGTTTTGTATGGAGACGGAGGATCTAAAACAGCTGTTCGTAAACGGAAATTAATCATAGTAATAGCGGTTAGTTTATTCAAAACAAACATTTCCTTTACACTTTATTAAGTATGATATTTATTGATATTAAATTCTAATTCGAGTTTATAATATCGAAGATTATGAATAATGTTGAGTTTGAGGTTTAGCTTCATTAATGAAGGATTGGCGATTATCGTTAAGTAGAAGAACTTAATTAAAAAATGATAATTATGAAATTAGTTCTTTGGTCAACGCGATAATGGCCCCATTTTTTAATGCATTAGATTTCATTTATAAACTGTTGATATTCTCAAATGTCAAATACATTACATCCACAAGTATAAATAGTTCTTTTGTAGTTTGTAATGTTTATTTTTTAATGAGTAGATGAACTTAATTTTAAATATGATAATTATCAAATTAGTTCCTTGGTGAACGTGATAATGCCCCCATTTTTAATGCATTAGATTGCATTTATAAACTATCGATATTCTCAATCGTCATATGGATTATATCCACAAGTATAAATAGTTCTTTTATATCTTGTAATGTTTATTTTAAAAGGAGTTTATATATGCCATATGTAAATCACCTTTCATCAGCTCACAGAGCTTTTTGTTATTATAATCCTAAATAAAAGGGTTAATACACACGTGAAAATATGCCCAGACACATGTGTTCCATTTCCAGGTAGGTTCTTATAGAAATGATCGATCGTATCATCCTTAAGGGGCATTTAGGGATTGAGCACATTAAAGGCACAACGAACAGCTCATCTAATTATGAGCGGACACTCAACAACCATTATTGAAAAGTATTTTGGAAATAATTCATTTACAAATTTCAGACGATATGTCTGCAAAACAAACTCAAAAATGTGAAGAATAGTCTGAAATCACCAAATAAAGAATAAAAAACCATTTCGAAAGTGTGTAGAAATATTGTCGTTGCGACATTGTTTTCAGATTTATAGACAAGGAATAGAGAAAAATGATGGCATTATATTTCATTAATTAATATCTTTGGCAAGTTATTAGATTCACATATATGTACTTAAATCAAGTTAGCGAATGAGTGACAGATGGTTACATAAAAAAGGGTCATAATGTGGTAAACATTTAATTCTAGGTTGATAACAGATATCTCATGGGAAGTTTCTCCAGTAAATTTCCATTAACCATATAAGGGTGGGTTTCGACGTCATTTGGCTCAATTAACCAATCTCTCTAATTATTTACTTCATGTTTGACCAATTAGATTAATCATAATTGAAGGTCCAAAACCCAAAGCCACAAAACTATCATACTTGTGAGAATTCGCTAGACAGCAGCTTGATTCTGGAAGGGAAAAGATGTAGAAATTTCTATCAGCAGACTCGCTTGGATGGGGTTTGAGAGAATGACTTTTCTGTTATTGTACTATACATGTACTTGTATCTACATGTACATGTATGTATCCGGCTATGATATATAAAATGTAAAAACAAACTGTTGCAATGTTATTCCTGGAAAGACAAACGCCTTAACTAACTGAGATGAATAGTAAGAAGTAAATACACAACGTGAAGGGTGTGGCGGCAGGATTTGGTTCCTCCGCTCTCCACGTCTGACAGAAGACCCATGGTACTCCAAGCGATCGCTACAATACCTTACAACTGTAACTTCGGTAAATAAAGATGGATAGCATGGATAGTTTGTAATTAGTTCAATAGAGTAAAGATTTCTTCCACACAGAATTAACCAGTTTTATTCACTAGATCATTCATTCTTGGAGAACTGCCGAAGCTATACATGTCCCCTATCGACACCAAATGCATGCATTTATAAGCGGCTGATCCTGTAGTATAGCAGCCTTCAATCAAAGACCTCAAAGTTTAATCCAATATAATTCCGAAGGGTCATAATTCGATGAAAAGTAGTTGTAAGGAATCACACGAAACGCGAACCTGATCTGTAACGGACGGACAAACGAAGACAAAACTAGTAATACTATATCGGAGACTACCCCTTTAAACATACATTATGCAAGAGCTAAATCTGCCTATTGCAGGTTTTTCTTTAGGGCTGAAATGTTATCTAAATTATTAATTAGACATTAATTAACTTATCCAGACCATAATCAACGTTCAATGGCATCGCTAGCCTGCGATGTTTATTGGATTAGGTTCCGATTTGCTGTTCGACTTCCATTCATAATTTAATCAGGAATTGGATAATCGAGACTATGTTTTTTATCCTACCGACTTTAGTAATGATGATCGAGGCTAGGCCGAAAATTCAATCGCTAAAATGTCGGTTCATAGTGGATCAGTTTGACTGAAATTTTCAGCAAATTCCCTTTACAGTATCTAGTTTTTAACTATTATAGTGAGAACTGTCAGCTCTTTATCTAATCTCCCATAATGTATCTTTAAGTAATTCTAGAATATAAGTATGTAAGAGTCATATTGCTATAGCATATTGATGAAACCAGTTTAATTATTACAAAATGAGATATATGTAAATATTTGCTAATTTTATTATCAAGATTATTGTTGAATATAAGTATGTAAGAGTCATATTGCTATAGCATATTGATGAAACCAGTTTAATTATTCCAAAATGAGATATATGTAAATATTTGCTAATTTTATTATCAAGATGATGGTTGAATACATTTAAATATTATACAGGTTGGTGTTGTCATCACACTAGCTCTTATCATAGGATTATCTGTTGGCCTTAGAAAGCCAGAGAAGGGCGGGACAAAAAACACTGGGCAAACAGATGAATCTAAAAGAACAATAACTACAACACCAATACCAATAAAAACAACCACCACATACATGTAAGTTGATTCAGGCTAAGGTTTTTCTCCCAAAAAATACCAGGATAAATTTAGGTCTGCAAAATAAATAATCGCTGTTGGATTTGTGTTCCCCTGATATATGAAGCCAGAAAGTAAACAAAAATTAGTAAACAAACTAACTTCCGCTTAATATTTTGAAACTAATATTTAGATTTTGTCTCATGACTAATCTCAAATAGCACGTCAGATCAACTCAATTCAACACTTTATTTTAACCCAAATCAAAGAGATTAAGCTTCTTTTAAAAGGATATTTTCCGCGAATGGGTGAAACCGGAAGTATATTTGTTGAGTGTAGGCTATTACCCGGTCATAAGAAAGCAAAACAAAGCTAATTCGTAGCTGTGTACAGTGCTGAAAAATATTATACATGAAACCTGAAACTTGCATTGTAAATTGAACCAGGGCTACCAGTAGCATGATCTCTTTGTAGCCGAACTTTTGAAATTGTGAATACATTGCAGGCTGGCTACGAGAACGTAGCTAAAACGTTGAGATATACTGATGTGTTTGTTTTTAGTTACGATTGGATGCCTTTGGTTTCACCTGGTAAACTTAATTTCTTTATTAATGGATGCAACATGTTATAAAATAAGTTAAATTAAATACTATTATGACAAAATAAACAGGTTCTATCTGCAAATATATTGTCAGTAAAGTTAATCAAGCGGTGTTTTATCAAAATTGATATGGCCATTCATAATTACGGTGCATTAGTCATGTCCGACTCGTAAAGTCATGTCCGACTTGTAAACTTCGCTCCTCCTCGCGTATTTACACGACATATATTTAGCCCCACTTTCAAGACATAAAATACGTCAAACCGATTCCATTTTAAAATGTTGGAGAAAACAAGATATTATCGCTTCAATTGCAAAGACATAATATGTACCTGTGTCAGGTAGGATTATATGCTAAAATGTTATTGAATGTGGCAGAAATGTAATAAATAACAATAACCAATCGTTGTTTTGAAGAACAAATTGACAGTTTTGCTTTTAAGTACGATGTGATCCACATCGTATACTTTGCCAGATGGAACTATAGTAGTATCATCGCTTATCTCGAGACACGCATTGTCGAGAGATGATGTTTCTGATCTTATTTCAGGCCAATAATAGTTGTTTCACTTGGAGCAGTAGATTTCAACTCCATTGACTCTCTTACAAATCTGAATAATTTGAAGAAAACTGGTGTGTATGCTAAATTTCTGAGACCAGTCTATCCCACGAAACAGTATCCAAATACACATTCTATAGTTACCGTAAGTAAGAGTTTTCAACAATGGCCAAAAATGATTGATGTCTTAAACATATTAAAAAAAGTAATTTTTTATTTAAGCAATAAACGACATTTCCACTCTGCAAGCTGAAGAATATTTTTTTTTTGTTTATTCGTATCAAGAAATAAAAGTAGATTCTGTGCCACATAATAGACCCATAAAAAGTTATTCCTTTTGTTTTATTTAAAAGGGCTTGTATCCAGAAAGTCATGGTATGATAGATGATCTCTTTTATGACTTGAAATTGGATTTGAAATTATACTCCGATCCTCGTAAGACGGCGGGATTCTGGACTGAAGCAGAACCGGTGGGTAATTATTTACGCCAAATTGATATGATTATACTGAACGCCACCCTCGTTCAAATTAGATGACAATTTCGATTCTTAAAATCTTTTTTTTTTTTACCTTTTTTTATCACCCTTGTGCTCTGCTTGTAAGGTTGCTATTTATATAAGTCAATCGTACGCACATGGTTTACAACTAAATCAATTTTGAGTTTTATTATTCTCATGATTTCTCGTAAAGCGCAATATAGACTACTTGATTGGTCTGCCACTACAATGACCGAAATACAGTCTTCAAAGACACCAGGTCAGATATCATTGGTGTAGTCCTCCATGAAAACAAAATAGGAGCCAATGTGACTCAGTGATTAAGGCACTGGCTCGTTGAGCTGGATTACCAGGGTATGGCCCTGTTGTATAGGTCAATAAGGTTTAGGGCAATAGATAACGGATTTTGTAATTGTCTGAAACACAATAAAAAATGTCATATGATCATAAAGACTCCATGGCTATTGAAAATCGCATATCGTTCAATAAATTTCCAAAGCAGCTTTCAGGCGTGTGAATTTTAAGTTTGTAATTGAAAAAAAAAGTTTTAAATTTCGTCCGATTTTCATGAATAAACAATTCATTCATTATTTCCAGATATGGAACACTGCCATGAAACAGGGAAAAAATACAGCAGCATATGCATGGCCAGGTTCGAACGTACTTATTCAAGGTACATATTTCATTTTTTAAGAAAAATACAATGCAAAAACACTGACGCTATGTTTCGTGTAAACTATTTAATTTTAAGAATTATTATAGTCTGGGTGTAACACGTAACAAGGATTCATAAGAAACAAGTTTAGTGATCCCAATCGATATTGTGTAGCACCATGAGTCTTTCTGTCTGACGTGGAGAGCGTCTATGGGAAACCGGTCGCCACATCCTACGTACGACCCATGCATCTTTTCTTACTACATATTTCTGTAGCCTTGTGATCGTCTAGGATTTGTCTCTAGCTGTCTTTACTTCTGCTTCACGTTGTGTATTTACTTCTTAATGGTTTTCTTAAGACGTTGTCTTACCAGGAATAACAATGCAACAGTTTGCTTCTACATTTTATATATATATAGCTGAATACAGGTATACAAGCATAATAGATAACAATACTAGTTAAAACCATTTCTCTACCCTAGCCAGCCTCGCGGCTGTCTAGGAACTCAGATGTACCTTCGATCTCTGGAATCTAATGCAAGTCTGACTTACAGGGTTCCCCGGTTTCTTTTAAAGGTAAATGAATATCATGCACCATAAAGCGTGATCATGGCCCTGAACTTGTGTAATTAACGATATGATTGGTTACTTTAAGCTAAATGATGCAATTAGAATAATTCCACTCACGTGTAATCCTGGTGGTAAATGAGTGACATATGTTTTCGATAAAGAGCTCTTTTTTATATGTCAACTGTCAATTACAGACTAAGTTGATTTAGTGCACACTATATATGGGAATATGTTTGAAATTACTAACTTGCCAAAGATATTAATTAATGAAATATAAAGGCATCTTATTTCAAGAGCAAAAATTCTAGCAATATTATTACAATTGACCCTCGTTATCCCCCGATACTAATCTGAAAGTATAAGAAAGTGGGGGTGGGGGTGGAGTGGCCTAGTGATCTAGAGTGTTTCGACCTCTAACCGGTCGGTCACTTCTGGCTTGCGGTTGTGGTTTCGATCCCTGGTGTGAGCGTATGTGGCTTGGAGATAGGGGCGCCTTCTCGACCTCGTGGGTTTACAAGACCCCTGGGCGTGCGCTGAGATTATAAAAATGAAAATAAAAGTGTAGGCAGACTGTATTCCCACCAATCGAGATCTTCAATACACGTATACGGATAATATAATAATAATAATAATCTTCTAGCACGATAATACTAAAACAGAAGTTTCTATTGCGCTTCTCAAGTTTTCTCTTTTGAACAATGGAAACGCTTCTGTAAATATGAGCGTCAACGTGGTTCTAATGTTATAAGGCAATGAATTCCATAAGAGAGGTGCAGAGAAGTAAAAAGATCTTTTTGCGATTTCAAGATTCATTGATGGTTAATGCAGAAATTGTCTGTCTGTGCATCTACATGTAAAAGTTCTTGTGGTTTTTATATAGAGTGATCAGATCTTGATATATTTTGGTGATTGGACATGTAAACGCCTTGAAAGTCAAAAGTGATATTTTGAACTTGATTCGCTGTTGAACTGGAAGCCAATACAGATTTTTCGGGGTCGGTGTGATGTGTTCTGATATTTTTGTACTTGTAAAAACTCTGGCGGCAGAATTTTGGATTCGTTGAATTTGGTAATTTGGAAGGCCAAATCAGTGATTGCGGTATTTGAGCCTATTGATACTTTTAAAGATTGGAACAAAATGGATGTTTTATAAACGTGCTCTGTTGGATATTAGATCTTTCCCGAAAGATATGAAATGAAATGGGTTTTAACGTCTTACTGTTCTGCTTCCACTGGGATAATGAGGACGGGTGCCCGGAAGACATTGCTAATGGTGGGTGTATACGACTACTTGACAAACTCCGTCAATGTTTCGTTATTTTTTTTTTTAGGTATGAAGCCGAATATGACGAGTACAGGTTCAAAGTAAGTGTGCATATCCTTCCCAGTTGAAATAGCTTTATTTAACGTTCGCTTCCACCAAAGTGTTGTTAAAGAAAGGTCCTCAGTAGTTCAGGACAAAGTAACGGCATCTAGTCATTCGGATGGTACGATAAATCGAAGTCCTGTGTACACGCTGGCGTGTACGTATAAGAAGAGCAAATTGCTCCGAAAGTTATGACTGGCTCTGATCATCGAATTTTGGATGCGCCCATGCACGTATAATATGTTAATATCAAGATTTGACATTTATTTGTCTTGTCCATGCACTCGGGAAAGTATGAATGAACAATGGGAAAACATAAAACGAATGTGAGTTGCCACTTCCGATTTATTCGCTCAGAATCGTTTTTGTTTTCTTTCTTCTTTTCAGCAAGAAAAATATCAATCTACCTATTAAAACCGTATCCGAATGGCTAAAGTTATCTGAAAAAGAAAGACCTGATCTTGTATTTGTTTATCTGGAATCACAAACAATTACACGGGTATGTATTAACAAGTTATGTATAAAAATATTTCCCTCATGTTTCCTTATTCTAACAAAAGATATATAGCATACACGGATCAACGTTATACAGTTATCACCGTTAAAGTGACAATTTATATTTTGTGTATCAAAATTAACTGCTTCTATCCTCTGCAATGAACTATTGCTAGTTCTAAATGCACAACGAATCCATGCATTTTAAGAATTTTTTTTATTGCACACATGTGTTACAGATAAAATTTATTCCTGAATTTTTATCAATACACGATTCGTCATAAGGATGAACTGTATCAAAATCAACGCATTATTTGATAATTTTTAGATTTATTGCATTTACTTATAACTATCACTATTTTCAAAACATGATTGTTTTAAATATATCCACTTAAGGATGGACACTGTGAACAATTAATGAGTTTCTGAAAAGAAGTTATTGCCCTTATCATGAATACTTTGGAACCGCTTTACAATAAGCTGTTATTTAAACTGGGTTCATTTGTGGCTACATAATTAATTTAATCATTGATTGATCCCCAGAAAACTTTTATCAGGCGACTGTCCCGATTTAATTTTGCGGACCTTTTGGCGTATACATGAAATGTCTTGCCAAGGAAGTGATTTCAGTTTTTTTCTGATGACATAATATTAAAAATCAGACATCGTTTCTGTTTGTACAGGAGTGTGTATTGTGAACACATCAAGATGAACTGGAATTTCAAGGGCGTTAGTAATAGCTTTTGTTGTTGGGTTAAAGTTGCTGGGTTCCGTTCTTGGGCGTGGTAGTCCATTTAGTCAACTCCTAGAACATGAAGAGTCCCCGGTATGTCTAGGCAAAGTGATATGAAACGTATTAGTTATGTTTACAGTGTTCTTTTTGCAGGATTCACATAAAATGATCAATTTCAGTTCCTTGCGAAATTTACTCCCTACAAAGCAATAGATAAATATATTGAGGCAACTATTTAGAACAACGAGCACATTAGCTACTGCCGAACCAATGACGTATGGTTTAGATAAGTCTGGGTTGGTTATCTCCCTTGTCTCATAAAGGCACTGTGAACTAGTCGTGGTGAATAATTTGTAAAGAGCTATGGAGCACATAGGAAAATTACAAACCATATAGACCAACACCACCAATATTACCAATACAGATAAATTTCGGTTTGGGTTGACAACATTTGGTATCCCAACTCTGATGCGGGATGATTTCCGCACCTGTCTCGTTAGCAGAATATTTACAATTGTCAAAACTATCCATGGGTGAACGTACCACACAAACGGTATGACGTAATGGTTGAATGCACACGGGTAGTTGTGATCTTTGCCAAATTTCGTCAAAACTGCGACAGCTACGGTCTGGTCTTGAAATTTAATGATCGTTATCCCATAACTAAGAAACATTGGAATGGTGAGGATAATGACAGTCACTATGCATGCTGCAATAAAAACACAGACAAGACCAGCACTGCACATCTTTTTGACGGCCAATGGATAACAGACAGCTAGATATCTCTCAAGAGACAATAGCAATGTAGACAAGCTGGAAGAACCAAGAGCTATCCAGAAAAGTGGCTCCACGTAAGCCTCTATATAGGCGTCTGTATGGAAAACAGAAGAAATATCCTCAGCATTCGACATAAACAATTTGTATGTCTTATAACGGAAAAACGATGTCACACACACGAGGGTGTCTGCCATGGCCATAACCCGTAGGGTAATCCCGGTTGTTGAAGAACGTAGCGCTTTTCGTGTCAAAACGAAAATGACTAGTAAATTACCAAATATTCCAATGATACATATAATGAAAAGTATATATCCATACATAATGTTATTCACATGTATCTGAAACGTAGCGAGTTCCATGGTATGATTGTTTGTGTTGCTATCCGTTATATTCAGAGTTTTAATAATGTGGATTTCTTGTTTGGATTGATTCACTAATTTCTCATGAATATCTTGTTCAATTTCTTCAGTTGCATAAGAAGGTACGAGTCCTATTTCCATATTACAAACACCATTGATTCAAACTGCAAACTTTTTGGGCCCAATGCAACTATAAAAATTAATATCTTTAATTCGCGTGTCTAATGAAATTATGATGCCAGTGATAAACTACTTTCGTTTTATACAATTTCCAGTTGACACAATCCTCGTTATGTATTTAATAACCGAGTTCTGATCAAGTAGTTGAGCTATAAATCTATCACACGAAATATAGATTGATTCTAGAATAGCTGTTATTAAATAAAGCCATCAGTATCCTGGAATTATAAATGCTAAGATAGATAAGATAGTTATCTTCTTGGTAACACCATCTGCTTGCTAATTGAGTTAAGCGAAGCAATGATAAATACATGAAATGCGTTTAAAGGCTCAATACCATGTATTGTCCCAATCTTTATTCTGGTCATCAAATTGTACTATCTTACAATATTCCAATTAATTGGTGATACAAAATTCATCTTAACACACCTAATTTTAAAAATTGAAAAAATTCAACTAAATGTGACTTGGATTTAAAAATATTTTCGAACCCTCTGGACAAGTAAAATAGGATGTAATGGATAATTTACACAACAGGTAGGACACTTAAACATCTAGTACTTAGAATAAGGCTATTATTTATTTTCTGGAGCTGTCAGGCCAGCAAGAGTGTTATTGTCCCTTTAAGAGACACGTAACTATTGATATAAATTTGAAAAAATTCGATGTGGGCAACTCGACTCTTTGAATCTTGAATAACATATTAATTATTAGAAATTATAACAGTATATTTTGTTCAATTTATCTCATGAGAATCGGCGGAAGGTGGGGGGATTGTTAGCACGTGCGCGTTCTATCATAAGGTCTGTCTTACAGTGTCTTTGAGTCAACTAACGTGGTTTCGATTCCCCGGTTGTCCGTGAAAAGGAGTAGGGTCGCCTGTCCCACCTTGTGGGTTTTCTCCGTGTCCTCCGGTTTCCTCCCACTGCTAAAGACCCCTACGCGCAAGCGAATTAAAAACATTAAATTGAACCGTGTGTTAGTCCCAAGTGGCCTGGTTTGTGTCGAGTGGACGTTACCCCCCCCCCCCCCTCTGTCTCTGTCTCTCTCTCTCTCGTGAGAATCATTATAATTGTCAATTAATATCTAATTATATATGTAATGTCCGATTGGCGTGGAGTTGGTGTTGATTTTATTGGGTTATGATATTACTTTGATATATTTATAGAATTTAGTAGAAGTTGATGATATGATAGGTCAGTTTATACAGATGTTGAAGGATGAAGGTGTATTTAACACTGCCAATATTATTTTTGTTAGTGATCATGGTAAGGTTTACAAGAAATATCATTTTTATACCCTAATAAATTATGTTGTGCTCATTTCTTTAGCAGGCATCAATATTTTCTTTTTAAACATGTTATGGAGTTGTTAAAGTCACTGAAAGTTTGTGCACCAGGAAATATACCAGACGACAAAGCTGTGGAAGGGTTGAATTTTCCTTAATATACAATACAAAATGTAACTCCCTATTTAAAGTCCTATCATGTGTTGATTAGCACAGCGAGGGTTCTTAGTCCCCACCCCCTCCAAAACACACACACACACACACCCACACCCACACACATTTTGTCCTAAACATTGTTAAACTGCATAATCAGGAAGCCGAATAAAGTAATGAAATAAAATATATTGAAATAATTGTACTGTCACAACCACGACCACAACACAAATACACTCCCGTCCACACTAACCCGGTGTCTTTTATTGTGTACTCTCTTTTTTGCAGGTTTGACACAAAAATCCTGTGAAAATATGGTTGTTCTAAATGGGTTTCTGTCATCTGATGAATTAAGAAAGGTTTATGTTTACGATGGTACATTTGGTAGAATAAGTAATAAATATAGATATTCTTCCTATACAAAAAACAGCCCATTAAACCCCACACAGAGTAAGTATAAATATACTCCCCTTCTTCTTTATGTGATTTGGATTCACTGCAGTGCGATATTCGTGTTTGGTGACTAAATACTTATTATTCATTTTACAACGTAGACCTACTTTTGGGACCCTCTTGCAATTGCTACTACCCATTATTTTCGTCTAAAAGTAATGCTAGTTTTTTCCAGAAACAATTGATTAATTGTAATAAACATTGGACTAAAATATTTGTTAGATAAAGGCACTTTGGGTTGTATTTGGTGTTCAATTCTATATATTACCTTTAGTGTGGTTTAACAGTTTCAAACTTTATCTTATATCAGTTTCACTTGAGGAGGTAATGAGTCGAGTTGAGTGTAGAAGCAAACACGTGAGAATTAGCAGAAAGACAAATTTACCTAAACGTCTTCACTATAGTAATAATCCGAGAATAGATGATATTATTGTAGATGTTGATGAGGGCTGGTGGTTCTCAAGGTAGGTCCTTCAATAGAAAAACTAATGTAAATTAGACCGGCCTTTTTACGTTCACGCTGCTATCTAGAATTGATAAAAGCAAAGAGAAATGCGAAAAAACCCAACCCATATAACTATTAAGCTTCTATTCGAACTCCCACATTTAGCAAATACAAGAATGTATCTAATAGATATCACTCTTATTTCAGAACTGGTTCTCAGAGGTCATGTTCTGGTAACGATTCTGGTTATGATAATATGCTTGATAGTATGTCTGTAAGTTTCAGAGTAAACATATTTTACAACTTATTGGCGAAACCCACACCGATCCCACAAAAAAACCCCACTGATATATAATTATTTGAAATGTTCAGTATACCATATTGAAAATTCCCTTTTACAATCAGGTGTTAAAATAATTTGTGTTTTCTTTTACAGGCATTTTTCGTTGCCCATGGGCCAACTTTTAAAGAAGGGGTTGAAGTTGAGGGGTTTGACAATATTGAACTTGTTAATCTGATCTCAGGTTAGTCTAAACACAGTTTATACAATACTTAATGTATTTCTTTTGTTTTAAAATCATGAATTTATTAAACATTTAAAACATATTTTTGGATAGTTGAGCTTATGTTATTGTTTATACAATTATTAAAGAAGTCAGATTTTCAGAGGTCTAGAAGAAAGAAATCGTCCCTGAAAAGTTCGTTTTGTTTAAAGTAAACGTTTTTTTTATCAGTTGCTACATGAGCAATTAATATTTTTGAGGATCGTCTTGTAGATATTATGAATATTACTGCTGCACCAAATAATGGAACACGCGGAAGATTGTTTGATCTGATGAAAACTCCTCCAATACAAGAATCAGATACACATACAACCACCAATCGGATTTGTATTATTGAACCTATCTGCAGTACTGATCACGTGAGAATTGAAAAAAAATATATAGATAGATTTCTTATTTTATTTTACAAAAACACATTGTCCCCTTTTCAATCAATCGGTGAAAAGACGTGGTGCATCGAAGCTACCAAAGGTCATGGGTAATCATGACATTGCAATTTAATATAAACAGATACACTAAAATGTGTCAGCAATGTGAACTTCCCAAATAATTATTGTCAAGTGATATCAGGTGTTTTAGAAAGTAACACGTTTATAGCTATATAACTACTTGGATGCAATGGCAACTACCCGAGTCACTGGTCAAGTTCTTTAAATATAAATACAACAAAAATTGGTGAGCTACGGGATCAATATTGAGAAGCTACGCACTGAACATTCGCACTAAAGGAAATGAATGATGTGAGGTTTTTTTACCCGCACTTTAAAATATTTCAGTGAAATTTCTAAAGGGTTAATCAATGATTTTTCTTTTTCTTAAATGCAGATTAATGACAGGCGACCTGCTTTACCGGCGTTTGATTCTGTCGCATGTGCTGTATGGTACAGCGATAGTCAAGTCCATGCATACAGTCAAACATCTAAGCGATTTTTATGGACATCATATGTACCAACTTTGGTAAATATTTTATTACGTCAAGACTATTTTACGACACTGTAATCTTATACATGTCGTAACTGAAGTATATCCTTCGGTTTTGGTTCGAATTACAAAATAATCGATCTAACCTGAACAATCGATCTTACTGACAAACTGGTTATGACGTTCAAAATTTACTGCTGACTAATAATAATTTTCGTAAAAGAAAAAAAAACCCCAAAAAACAGGTCTACTTTTATGAAATTTACCTTTTCAGAATGTTACATCAATTTACCAAGACCCAGGTACGCTTGTATTTTATTTGAAAGTGTTATAAATATATTTAATTTTATTTCTTATGGAGATCGAACTAGAAGTGTGTTCCTCTTTAACAATGTACAGTAGTATACAAATATGTGATATTGTTGTGTAAATGTTAATTATCACTCAGATACGTATACAAATCAAAATATTTCATTGAGCATCCAAATAAAAACATTATGTTTAGATATTCTAATTTGTGGTCAGAGATTTTGTTATTTCATCACTTTTAGTAAAATATTTTTTTCTTTTATAATTACATTAGATAATACATCATGTAATACTAATAGTCGAGGATATCTATCGCCACCAACTATAAGCAATAATGGTAAGATATATATTAGGTATTTTTGTAATAAAAAAGAACAAATAAGACAAAATTTATATGTTGCGAATCTACTCCACAGCACTATCTACTTTTGATATGCTCAAGGGGAAGGCTGGAATCAGAGAATCGATTAAAGGGTATCCTAGCAGACAATCATATGGACTGAAAAAAAGCCACGCTAGCTGCTAAAAAAACTATAAAAGGGATTGTTATTAATATTTCAGAAGTGTTTGATTATCTCAGTCAGATTATTGGTGAATATCAAGTAAAATATGGACAGATCACAGTGACAGCAGGACCTTTATATGATTATAATTCTAATGGTCTGTTGGATGATAACGAAAATTACGATATGTAAGAAACTGAATGTTCTTAGAGTTATATAAATATTCTTAACTACATGTAATTGTATCGTTGCATGTAAATATTATATATCATCTATACATAATAATAATCAATATCATACGCTACCTAACAGCTGGAAAATCATAATAAATTATAGCATAATAATTATTTTTTACAAACGTTTAGGTATGAAAATACAGACAATCTGGTTCCTACTCATCATTTTGTTATATTAAGTAAATGTAAAAACAACCAGATTAATAACTGCACAGAAGATCCAGATGTTCTTTCCTTTATATTACCTCATGAAAATAATGACAGCAACTGTTTGGTAGGTTTTAAAATTGTATATTTATAACAGGGTGTTTTCTCACATTTTTCTTATTCGAAAATAAAAACCCTGAAATTATTTTGTTTATTAAAGATATACAGTTTAGAGAAATTAACAATAATACAACTGTTTTAAATACGAAATAAATAAAACTGTAATTCACATATTCAAGATTTATTCCATGGAATTCTTGAACTCAATAATATATATTTATTTAATTAAATTTTAGCTGGAATTGGAATTTCTGAAAAGGAATGTAGCACGAATAAAAGATATTGAACTTTTAACAAACTTCAAATTCTATTCGAATTTAGAATTAAACAAACGAGCGTGGTTACAGACATATCTACCGGTAGTTTTATGGCCATCACTTTCAACAGAAATAAAGAGAAAACCTGGAACATGGATGGATGAACCATGTCCTTCTCATAATACGTGTCAATCAGAGTAAGTCTTGTTTTCCTTTTGTTATCCCTATCATATAGATTAATAAACCGGTGTTCCTGTCTGTGATATAGGAGTGTATGCAATGGCGGCAAATTGCTCAGCAACGCCAGCACTTATCCACCCATTGTCTTGGACATGTACAAGATTTGAAGATTGTAAAAGGGATGATGTTTGTGTGAAGACTTTCCCAAGATGTGTTTTCGACGTTCGGATTAAATTTCACATTTCATTTGCATTACTAAACATGTTCGTTACAGACGTGGTTGATAACAAGAATGATGTGTAACAAAATTTAACGTAGTTATAACTTATATCCCAACGTCAAGGAGTATGTCAATTATCATCATTTTGGAAATACAGTTGAAGATACCGACACAATTTATATTTCATTTATTTGTACGACAAAAGAATTATTCAGTCTAGTATTATAGCATATTGTCATTTATTTTTAAGTTGCTATTCAAAGACTAAAGTATTGAAAGATGTTTTAAAATTATGTTTTAGTTATAAACCCCTGATAGTAATTTCGGTGGATGGCTTTAGAGGCGATTATTTGTTGCGGAATATGACACCGGTATTTGAAAGATTAGCTGACTGTGGTGTTAAAGTACCATACATGAGATCAGCTTATCCCACTAAAACATTCCCCAATCATTATACTATAGTCACTGTAAGTATTCTGGCATTTTATTGTTGTCTTATATAATGCATTTTGATACTGTTGAAATAGAGTGTGGTTTCAGAGCTTTAGAAATATATCGCTCATATATTGGCACTATGAAAATGTAGCGTTGCAAACTTTACTTACTATTCAGAATGGGGGTGTTTTAATTAATTTATGGTTTTATTTCTTATTGTTATTTATTAGGGTGTTTGCTATTTGTTGAGAACTAGTATGATATTTTTTTAGTGCATGCATAATATTGTATATAAAATTTTGGGTTTTGTATCATTAACCCCACAATACAGAACTCTAGGCATGATTATGATATTTTAGGGTTTATATCCAGAATCTCATGGTATAGTAGATAATTCTATGTATGATTATAATATAAAAGAAAAGTTTAGTATTGGTAGTTCTAGTGGTAAAGATAGTAGATGGTGGGGCGGAGAACCTGTGAGTATACAGACTCAATACCACTTTTATTTCTGTCTAAATAGATTAAATGTATATTTATTGTTATTATAAAATATTTCTAGTACTTCCATGCGCATACATATAAATGTAAGAAAATATCTGAATGATAACATTATTTAAAACAAAATAAATCATTTTAAACAATAAATAATAATAATAGATTTACACACTAAAAAATTGTCGTATGGTTACTGTGTTGGTTATCACTGCACGGGCGTTATCTTCTATCATGTGACTTCATTTGGTTGGGGTCTTGCAAGAACCATTGTTTGCTTACTCTATCTAGAACATCTGATAACACCATTTTTAATATATATATTTGGGAACTTCACACAATTTTTGAAATACTTTTGTCAGTGAGGTAAAGATCCCTTGTCCCAAAACTAAGGTGATATAATTTTATGCATTATATTCATTTGATTCTTAAGTTTAATTCTTAAGGGTCTATTACGTATTGTAGCTTAAATCTGTCAATGGACGCAATATAATATACATTGTTTATAGATTTGGTTGACAGCTAAAAGGCAAGGTAAAAAATCGGCAACTTTCTTCTGGGTCGGGTCAGATGTTAAAATTCAAGGTAAATCCTTTAATATTTCTATATATTAACGTTATGCAAATTGGTCAGATAGCCTGAACAGAATAGCATTTATAAAAAAAGGAATGGGCCAATTGTAATTTAAATCCTATCAAAGATCGACTTCTGTAAGTGTAGTGGTTGTCGGCAAAATCACTCTCAGGACGGGCTTGGGAAAATAACGTTTTATATTACATTTTAACACAAACATCGAATTAGTTTAAACTAATTCACTGTCACATTTTGATATTTTTATTTTTAGGAGAATATCCAAACATATACAGAAACTTCAGTTCGTAAGTACACTGTGAAAAAACGTACAAAAATTCCGGAAACAAAAATTACTAGGAAAATTTCATCCGTATTTGTTTTTCCTGTAATTTACAGAAATTCCTTCAATTAACATAAATTCCATTTTCAAATACAGAAAAAAAAATCCTGGTAATTTTTGTTTCCTGAGCATGAAAGTGATAAAAATTTCATTGAATTAACCATTGACTTTTTAAGCTTTATTTAACATCCGCTTCCACCGAAGTGATATCGCAGACAATCTTTATACGCAACCTCTTTCCCCCAATATCAGAACACGGAATATCGTAATCGAGAGACGAGCGCGAGGTATCACAAACCGCTACTCGTGAGTGACCTGTTAGAAGCTTTCAGATGTAAACTTGTAGTACTGTCAATTTGCAGGTATGTAAACTCTGCCATAGATATAAACCGGCTTACACTGGCTGAACGGGTTTACTATCCGGGTTTATGCGTGCTTGATTTCCAGATAATCCAACCTATAGACACGTAGTGTTAAAACATAATTTTATACATTTATGAAAATACTTACAATATGATTAACGGATGATGAATAACAATACACTTTATAGATCTTATAGATAATGGAAATTAGATATACATGACATGTATTATACCAAAATTTACTAAATATGATTATTCATATTATGGTTAATATATTTAAATGAATACTATAACATGATAATTATTATATATGATTATATATGTATACGATTACTTATCGTTGCATTTGCAAACAGAAATAATCCGTAAATTCCTGGTCTTTCCACCGTTTATCCCGTAATATAACAGAATTCAGTCCATTATAGAATAGAATAAAACATTTTATCCCTAAATTTCACGGAAATTTCCGGTCATTCCATCATTTATTCAGTAAAATAACAGAATTAAGTCCATTATAGAAGGGAATAAAACATTTTATCCCTAAATTTCACGGAAATTTCCTGTTTTATACTGAATACCGGTATTACAAAGAAATACATAAAACACGAAATTTGAAGAAATAATTCACACTTTTAACACAATTTCTCCGAAAAAAGCCATCGATTAACAGGAAAAAAGTGTTAAACTACGGAATTCGGCCACATAAAAAATGGATATTTTTTACAGTGTAGCTTGTTTTGATTTGTCTTGGTATACGACAATCTTGGAATTTTGTTTAGTTTTAGTTTTAGAATTGTATATCTAAACCTGCTTTTGGTGTCACCAGAGATGATCAAGTTATTTGTCTGTCTTTCTTCGCACTACTTTTTAGGCCTGCTATATAATTGGTAAGGTCATCGTCACGAACTAACAATTTCTCATTCTCTGCATTATTATTGTTGTCAATAAGGCTGTAGGAAATTATAGATATTGTTCTGTATGTTTATAGGGGTACATCGTTTATAGATATTGTTCTGTATGTTTATAGGGGTACATCGTTTATAGATAGAGTAGAAACTGCTGTAAGATGGTTAAAAGATCCCACTAACAGACCAGACATATTGACATTATATTTTAATGAGCCGGATCATGCTGGTCATCAATATGGACCAGATTCAGAAAAGGTTAGTTATAATATAGGCTGTAGCCCAAAGTACCGGATGATTTTTATAATTATTATGCCGGTGAATTAACCAAGTTGGCAAAAGATTAGTAATTCAAATTGAGAGCTTGTCCTAGATCCCTCTCTTTTCGCTCCCAAGCTTTCTAGGACCGAAATACTTCGTGATTAACTTTTTCATTTGCTTGAATTGTGAAAATGGATTAAATCTTTGTTTGGGTTTTAGTAACAAAGCCCTAACCAGATCTCGTGGTACCGGTATTCCTACATAAATTTGATAAATTTAAAGTTACTGAAGGTTATTTTAAAGGTCTTTTTGAAAATGCATTTTAGTAAATACATGTCTTGTATTAGAATATAATGTAGGAATGTTGATTTCTTTATATAATTTCAGATAGATGAAGTATTGAGAAAGATGGATAATGTTATTGAAGTGTTGATGGATGAACTTTATCAGAATGATTTACATCATTGTGTTAATATCATGCTGTTGGCTGATCACGGTATATAGTTGTGTATTCTATTTGAGAATTGGTTGTAGATGGGTAAAATAACGTATCATAATAAGCTAACGCTGTCCGGTGGTGGGTATACTTATACACCTTACACCATTTCTCTCTTTTCTTGTTAAAAGTCTGCCTGAAAATCAATTTGTGTTTCTACTGTTGTATTTAATATTTTTGTCAATAAATAATGACGTTTCCATTGGACACTGAATAAATAACTATCCTGAATTTTTCAGACTTTCCCCGTCTTTTATTTACGTCCATATTACAAACACAAGTTACTTCTATGTTTATCTGAATATTAATAGTATGCATTTCTGGATGGTTTTAACTGTTCACAGATCTAAGAAAACGGGCAATATTTACATCGAACATGTTGCGTTTCTACAGAATAATATATGTTTATCATGTATCTGATTCCCAGGTTGTATATTATACAGGTATGGCACCTATAAGCTGTGATAAAGTAAACGACTTAAGCACAGTTTTTAACTCTACAGAATTAAAAGAGTTTTATGTTTATCAAGGAGGATTTGGTCGCATAGCAGCAAATTATATTAGAGGACCGAAGAGTACTATACAGGAACTTAGTAATCCAACTTGTAAGTTCGTTAATGAAAAGCAACGAAAGATTTTAATTTTTAATTTTACAAATAAATTGTAACTTTGCATTTTCGAATTTGGTAATATATAGAGAATCTCCTTTTGATATCAAAAAAGACGAGTAGGATATTTTATTTATCACCCAATCCCTTCTTACATGCACAAATAGATAAATATAATTCTTTGCTGTAGATTTCACTTTTACTGAACATTACGTCGTAGTGATACATTATTTTTTGACAGCAATTCAACCATTGCAAAGTCCTTTATATTGACCCAGTGTTTCCATCAAGGTCAATTATATAACAAAAGTTCATTTTGAAAAAAAAAAAAAAGATACTTTTAATAAGAAATGAACTGTTCTTTGAAAATAAAAAAAAGTAGTTCCTTTTCAACTGACCAATCAAATTCATGTAAAGCGATATCGATATCGCAGTAGATTATGAAATATTATATCACACAAGCGATATCTACTGTAGAATGTATTATTGGGTGATAAATACTATTACATGGTTACGTGTTTAAACCACAATAATAACTATATCTATGGGAGAAGGTAGGTTTGGGGTCACATAAACTGCAAAATATTTGCTGAAAGCGCGATAATTTTTTTTACTGTTTTTACTGTTGTGAAATTTATTTGATTTTTAAAGACTGTATACAGGCCACTAAAAAGACCCGGTGGTTTTGTAAATGATGCACAGGCTCAGTAACCAGGAGGTCCGAGGTTCGATCCCTGTGTTTTACGGAAAAGTTCCCCTATAGATTTTCCAACGGTTGTGCAGGACGGAGGACCTGGCAAGGAACAGTGTCTAGCCACTCGTTCGCAAGGGGACATAAAATTGGTCCCATGTACACTGCAAAATTTCCGTCATGGCACACTGCATGTCGTATGCCTATCTTCACAGGCGCCCGATTCGGGCAGAAAATTAGGACGTTAAACCCCATTTCATTCATTCATTCATTCATTCATTCATTCTAAAAAGACCTGTAACAATGCCTTTTTTTCGCTTCTAGTTACTGTTGATGAACTGAAATCTCGAATGAAGTGTCATTTTAATATGTCTGTTTACGAGAGGAGTGAGCTACCTAAAAGGTTTCATTACGCCAGAAATGATAGAATAGATTCTCTTATATTAGATAATCATCTGGAATACACATTAACTAGGTCTGTATTTTCATCTTAAGTATATTGTCTGAAATCAAAGGTAAGGTGAACCATATCAGAGATTCGTTGGTTGTATTCGTAGAGCATTTAGAGCTTAGGCATTATGAAGTTTTTGTTCGGCTTCATTGTGCAAAGACGCAATTATCAATACGGGCCAGACTTACAGAAATCCTAGAAGTTTTTAAGAAGTCATGTCTTGAGACGCTATCCAGTTGACCTTTTGGAAGCACCACTGTTCACCAAATTGGTACTATGTGGGTGTTTTTACTTCGTCATGGGACAACGTGATGAATTTTTGTTTTAAATCGGCCAGTCGTAAGAAATCCAGTAATTTCGCGAACACTGTTTTTGATAGTTAAAAAGTGATGAATCTTTCCCAAACCTATTAATTGCTATTTTGATGAGTTTTTGATACTTTTTTTTTTTTTTTTTTTTTTTTTTTTGAAATTTGATTTTGAACAATTTTTCATGGGCACGGGTTATACTGTGATATTTGTTACAGGAAATTTAACAGAGGATTTTGTTCTGGGGGAACACATGGTTATGATAATGCTTACAGAAGTATGGGGGTAAATAGCAACTTAATTTAATTCTGAATTACCACAAAGTTATGTATAGAAGTAATATCTATAAATACATTTGAATTTTAAATATTTTAGGTATTGTACTTAAAAACATGAAAAAGGTCTGTTCAAAGTTTTGTTGGTGCTATGATGGATTCAACCAATCCGACGGTTTTAGCTTCATTTTACACATTAGTTATAGGAGGTGTTGGTATAGCATAACTGTAACTCTCCTTTTGACCAGGGATTACAAATGGAAATTCGACTAGGACTCTAAAACGTTTTTTTAAAAAAATCCAAAAAACCCAGACATTACCAAATTTTGTATTAAACATCCCTTCCAACATTCACCAACATATCTTTCAAATACCTTACCGACATCAAGCGTTACCTTTTGGAAGCATTGGTCAAAATATCGAGCAAATATCCCTCTGAAATATAAACAAGTATCACAGTTTTAAAAAAGATTATATTATTTTGGATTGAAAGTCAATATAAATTCAATTTTTTTGGATAAGATTAGTAAGTGCAAAATGATATATGTGCTATTGAGTGGGCTAAATATAAGAATGGTGATATGTGGAAATAGGAACATACATTATAAAAGGTATTTTATATTACAGGCAGTGTTTATCGCACATGGACCATATTTTAAAGTGGGGCATGAGTCGGAAACGTTTGAAAATATAGAATTGTATAATCTTATGTGTGGTAGGTACTAACATTGCTTTTTTAACACCAGACGTGTTGCATTATATCCTCGATTATCTGTAGTATCCAATACACCATTGATGAAGATTTTTCGATTGACTGCCTATTTTACAGGTTTGAAACCTCTTCAACGTGTTAATTAAATGTGTTCGATTCGTGTCCGTTTTTTATAAACCAAGTTTTGTTTTAATTGGTTCATGTAGATATTATTGGTGTTAAGCCAGCACCAAATAATGGAACGGCTGGAAGTTTAAATGACCTCCTGACTACTCCTAAAAACCTCACCAAATCTCAACCAGCGTCAGTATATAAAGAAGCCAGAAGACTTGTGGGGTCCTCTCGTAGTGTAAATAGCATGTGTGGACAGTGTGATAAAAACACTTTCAATGTAAGAGATTTTCTTTGTATTTAAGGTATCACGATGATAGTCGCTGCTATAATTGAATTAAAAGGGAAATCTTGTTTAAACTTCAATAGTCTCATGTTCATAGGCGAAGGGAACACTTTATTTTACCCGAATGTATCCAAAAATTGAAATGAAATGAAATGGAGTCTAGTGTCTCACTGGATTGCACCAACCGGTATAATGAATACGGACATGTGCTATGCTGTGGTGTACGTGTTTCCAAATGAAAAGCCAAAGTCGAAGGCAAACCATCTGGAAACACGTTACATCTGTTACATCGGGAAACACGACATTCTAAAGTGAGTCTTCCAGACACCATATCAAATGGGGGAAATGCAGCGTTTCCAACTATTCTTCATCGAATTCTAACTATCAATTATTTTTTTTAAAAGTGCATGCCACGAATTTATCAGTGAATATTGCCCAAATATCTTACCTTTGCCTATAAAAATCACAGATTAATGCCTTAGAATAGCACGTGGTTCGACACTCGACACAAAACAAGACATTTGGGAGTATATCTTTATTTCAATTATTCGCTTGTGCGCAGGGTCATTGGAGGAAACCAAAAGGTTACGCAGGCGACCTTACTTTTTATTATTAATTTTGTTACCTTGTTTACGTGATCTGTGTCACGTGTGCATTGTTTATTTAAACAGATGACGGATATTTGGATTAAATTAGATGACAACTTGAATCAGAAAGATAGTTTAGATCAAATCCATTTACCATTTGGAGCAGCCATAGCAACGCAGTCCAATGTTAATGTAACTATTCTCTACCAAGATTCTCATATTACAGCTTACAATACTGATATACAGTCCATACACTGGATATCAGCGACTATTAATTCATCACAGGTAAAATAATTCAGGCTACTTATCTTAAAAGGATTCACTTTAATACCATAATTATGAGACATGCTTTGATGTACTGTTTGTTCAGTTTGGTATTCAAAAACTGCTAGAAGTTTAGTTTATGTTGTTTTATTTTATTTTATTTTTTTTTGGTGGGGGGGAGGCGATGTGCAGATATTAATTAATCGTCTGTGGTATCAGGATATATGTTTTCGGGGTCGCAGATTCTATTTCTGCCGTTTACAACTGTGTAAAATGATAGAATGATCGCATATTCACATATTTAGGGCCAAAATGGCCGCCATCTTGGAAATATGCAAAATAGGTGAACTTGCGATTATTTTACACAGTTGTAACTGGTAAAAATGGAATCTGTGCACCTGAAAACATAAATATTGAAACCAAAGACGCCATCTTAATCAATATCAGCACATTGTCCCATTTTCCCGCCAAAAATGGACGCCATCTTGGAAATATGCAAACTAAGTGAACATGTGAGCTCCTGAAATCCTATATTGACACCAAACACTACTACTTTTATAAAAATCAGCACATCGGCCGACTTTCCCGCCAAAAATGGTCGCCATCTTGGAAATATCTTCATGTAGTGATGGAAAAAAATCTGAAATATAGTCACGACCCCTTCCAATATTAATACATTGCTAAATCAAAGTTGATATGTCGATAACATTATAAATAAGGTGAAAATAAAAAAAAATAAGGTGGAATCTTATCGCAAAATGGCTGCCTCAAGTAATGGCCTTTCCATACTATGAAGACCTACTCAGAAAAAAAGTCAACATTGGTTTTTTGTCATTAAACATCAAAACCTTCAAAATAAAACTTGTTCCACGATTTCTACCAGAAAAACCGACGGATTCACATTGAAGATCGGACTAATACACGTCCTATAACTGCCTCAACTCGATCACACTAATGTTGTTTTGGGAGTATTTAAGTCCACAACTTGCCTTCGTTATCAATTATGTGCACTTATACCCACCCCTTTTGAAATCCTGCATAGGCCACTGACGTAAACTATATTCAAAAAGGTTTTTTTTTTAAAATGAAATCTCGACGTTTGTAAGAGACCAGATTTGCACAGTTTATTACCTATAATACGATTGGACAAATAGACAAGCTTGTTTATATTTATTATCAGTGGTCAACAGTTAATATATATATTGTTTATGTTTATTATCAGTGATCGTCAGTTAATACACCTTTGTTTATATTTACTTTCAGTTTTCGTCAGTTAATGTATCTATTGAAAATTGTATATATGCTGATGATCGGGTTGATTATCTATATGACATATGTTATAACATATCTTCTACTAAACAATCAAAACTCTTAGGTAAAATGGAAAATTTATAATGCTTATCAATATAATAGACATCCTAAATACATTTTAAAAAAAGGCCCACTTAAATGCTAAATGGGTTGGCTTGCAAAGGGTGCACTACTATGGTAGTGATCGTTAAAAATCTTTGATGAGAAATTAGAACGAGTGAATATGGAGATGTGCAAAATATTGCCACATTAAAATTTTGTCCACATAGATGGAAATGATATATTAGAATAAAAAAAATTATTGGCACGAAATAAATTTTTGATTGATTGGGGTTTTTTTTCTTTGTTACTGATAGATGTTGTGAATTCTGAAGAATTTGTTCCTGCCCTTTCAACTGATAGCCTGCCATTAATAGATAGCTTTAGATTGGGTAGGTATACAAGAATGATACAAGTCACTGTTCACCCAGTGATATCCGTACAAGTAAAAGGGAATTGTTATGTTGCTTCCCAAATAAATTAGAGGTGGTACGGGGTGTTGTAAGAGGGTAATCGTTCCATGTTTGGTATACAAAACCCACCACAAGTTATATACCGAATTGGAGCGGGGGTTAGAATTGTGCTTTTAGAAGTCGGCCCTACTCTGAAGCCTACTGCTTTAGGCTGATACAGTGGGCGGGGGGGGGGGGGGCGCACTTTCGGACTTGACATAGCGTATGAATGTGAATGATTGAATTTGTTGTTTGTCTGACCTTTCGGAGTTAACAAATTGTCTCTTTATGTCAGGTATTTGGAAGAATCTACAGCAGTTGGTATTGAATTGGACACAGATTTTTGGAGGTATCAATATTGTTAGTGGACCGATATATGATTTTAATTTAGATGGAATTGGTGATTCGCCAGGCGAACTTTACAGGTTTAGTATATATTTAAAAGATTTGCCGCGAAAAAGAATACTTTTCTCATAAAACGTAAATTCTTCCCGTTAAAACGGTCCACCCCTCTCATTTTTTAAAAAAAAATGACCTGAGGAGTGCGTCCCTAATTCGGCGTTGAGATTCAAAATGTCCTCTTTGAGGTACAAACCGAGAAGATAATGATATAATAATTCACCCATATCCAAAAAATATTTTAGCTCTCTTTATTTTCAATAAGGACAAAACTTCAAGATATGTTAAAAACCAGACTGGTATCACAAAAATACGCAATGGAATTTAAAACTCGTTTAGCGATTTGTATCTACTTTTACATAGTCTAAATAAATGCTTTGGAAATAACATTTTAATGTTTATTTTTCACAGTCGATTTAATGGAAGTGTACCGGTGGCATCTCATATATTTCTACTAGTAACAAGATGTAATATATCATCAAGTAACCTAGCAACGTGTCAACAATTACATACCATAGCATTTATGTTACCACAGACATCTACTTATAGTAATAACTGTCAGGTAGGCCACTCTACTTATTGTATAAGGATCTAGAGCACAGTTATTTCCCCTCAATCAATGTATTCCCAGCTATTTATTAGTTATTTCCCCTCAATCAATGTATTCCCAGCTATTTATTACCCCCCCCCCCCCGCTTTCTCCCACATTGCTAGTTCAGCTCTGACTGAACGTTGGTCTCATTACACTCGCCCTGTACCGTCCTATTGAATCCTTGTCGAAAAAGAATCGGCCAACAGTCAATTTTACTGGGCAACATTTACTGCTAAACGACCGTGGGTCTGTCTCTGTGAACGCCTGAACAATGTAAGGGAACATTTTAGTGAGAAAGAAAAATAATTGAAGTCATAAATGAGATCAGAATACTCATTACAGCAAAGTACAGCGAATTACTGGGTCTGTTTTCATTTAATACTCAATAACTCTCGTCATAAAATCATTGTATAAAGAGTGATTAATGTCGCCCAACCCCTTACCGTCTACAAACTGTAGTTCAGAAAATAATTCTATAGCGCTAAATTCTGCCTCTACAGAACGGAAATTTACTGTTACGTGCATAACCCGAACATGGCTCCCATACTTCAAGGTGCACTAAAATGTTTCGTGTTTCTAGTTGTCTGAGTAGCATTCTGATCTGGTGGTGTATATGGTAACCGTCCAAAAGAATTTCAAAAACAATCTCGACTGAGAACCCTGGGACCCCCTCAAACCAGGTGAGAGATAGAACCCCAAAGCCCCCAAACCCCCCACCTTTGCCCCGCCATCCGGACGTTCCGGCGCCCCTGTCAACGTAGAGTAGATATGGGAGAACGGAAAAATAATTTGCAGTCACCATTCCCATCCTGCTCTGTGGGAGCTGGAAAATTAAAAGACAATGCTTTTCTTAAGAAATTATACTTTCTGTTTCAATAGTGAGTATAGCCTATGTCTACTTGTTACGTTTAGAGCTTTATGTTTGCTACATAAACGTTAACTGCACTGTTGTATTTATATATAGAAATGGAGAGATTATCTAATAGAACACGAAGGAAGGACAAGAGATATAGAATGGTTAACACATCTACAGTTCTTCCCAGATATACAAGATAGTTATAAACTCAGAATGTATTTACCGCATGGTTTATGGACTAACTAATCCGCTTTTTATCAATAATTTCGTTTTAACTTGTTCAATAAATAATCAAGAAACTAAATTATTCCCTCAGTACAGAAGCTTTTGAGTCATACTTAGGTTTCTAATGAGCAATTTAACAGCTTATCAAATATTATTATATAATTATTTTAATCCTAAGTTTGTATATATGTTCTAAATTCTACTGTAATTTTGGTCTTGTAATTTATCTCGTTATTGTGACCTTTAACCAGTTTTGGACACTCGTTATTACAAGTAGAAGCTTAACTATTTTGAGTTATCGTCGTCAGTGTTGGAATAAGCTACAGACCCCAGAAAACAGAAATGGTATTACTACAGAAGCAGTTTCGGCAGAAACCAAATGAACACTTTTATAATCATCACCCCTCCCCCAGCAAAACCACCATACACAATCCCTGAATCATGTGATGACTTTAAATACCCATATTTATTTCTAGTTGATTTCATTGATTAAGCTATAGTTACTAAGGCAATATCAGCAGGTTTAATGGATGTAGGTGATGCTATGATTAAGCTATAGTTACTAAGGCAATATCAGCACGTTTAATGAATGTACGTGATGCTATATGCTGTATAATGTTAATTCAATTAGCGTAATTTTTGTTCTTTTTAAAAAATATACTGTTTTTATATTATCTTATGTATTCATTTTTACATGTATTGTATATTTTTATACATTTTGAAATTAATGATAAAATTGGTTATGGTTATGTTTATGTATACCAGTATTTTTGTAGACATATAACAATGGGTAGACATCTGCATGTATAAGTGTTTTAAGATCCATTTTTATACACCCAGTTTTGAAGGAGAAGAAATAAAGTTAACTAGATCTACAAACCATAATTTTCAACATTTTCAAAAAAAGATAATTCTTGATAACCTAATCTCAAGGCGATTGTATATCAAATCATAGCAAAATACACACACACAGGTTACATGGTCCCAGCGCCTAAAAAATAGGGTTTACACTCGTTCGTTAGTTGGGGTTGACGTTGGTTCCACCAATGCATCCAAAGAAACTTGTCGTGACCAAGAGACAGCTTCAAAACAAAACAACACTTTCCGACATCCCTCTACGTTGGTATTTCCGACCGGTGTATAAGCCCCTGGCCCCTGACCGCGGACCGAGCCTATTGGACAGACGATGTAATCTTCAACTACTCGTCCGTCACATTGGATTAACCATCATATATTTGATCCCAACGTCACAGGCAAAGTCGAGTTTGGTGTTTGGGTTAATCCATCCCTAAAACCGCATGGAACTGGAGTCAGTTGAAGACAACTAACCAGAAGCCTCACTTTATCACAATAAGTATATAACTATGGTTGATAAATATGCTTCTATGGGACACCAATGTGGATGGACTGAGAAGGATCTTGTGATGTAGGCTCGGGGTCCCTAAATAATGTGGTTCTCGCGCAGTTTGTGTGCCTTTTTAAGTCGTTTTTGATGAAGCACCATTTACAAACAGTTTTTTTTTTTAATTTTTCATGCCAAGAGCGAGGGAAAGGCCTATGGGTCTCCAACCGCCAGTCTGTCCCATCGTCACCAAATACACGATTTTATGTGGTAAAACCTAAAAACGATGACAAATCTGTTCGTGTTGAACTTGTCAGACTCCCTATAATGATAATGTTGATAAGAGTACACCGCGGTGATCATGGGAACATGCTTGCACCACAAAACTTGAGTCTTACATAATGAGTTATATTATGTTATCTTGCGTAAGTAATCTGTGCGTGCCATTTCGTTATAAAACCACAGAAAATCACGTCTTAAAGAATGTCAGTAAATTTAATGACCTAGCCAATTTAAATATGGTTATACATTGCAGACAAATCTTGTTATAGCAGTCTTGTATGTAGTCAAATTGTGCATAGGTTGTCTAGCTTATTACGATGGAGAGCTTTGTAATAGGGTTTAGACGATTAGGTTGGTACCCGACAAAAGCCCCCACCCCCCCACCCCATGCAGATATTTAAGATCCACCCAAGTAATTTCTAGTGGCTGAAACTGGATGCGACTGATACCCAAAGTTTCACATCGGAAAAGCTTGGAGGATAAAGGAAAAGGAATAAATTAACGCTAAAAATAAATGGGTTGTAAAGAAAACTGAATTGATATCACATGATTCTGTTCGATTATGGTTTCTTTATTTGCTTTGAAGTGACATGACCCATTCACCATTACTGGTGTGTACTTTATATTAGGTGAATACTGAGTCCCGGTCACATAATAAATAGCCAACATTATATACACATTAGCCAATAAACTGTTGAAAACTCAGATCATATATCTTATACAACTAAACTTTCTTTTGATATTATTGGGGGGAAATACAATGGGCTAAGTTTAACTACTGACATATATATCAGTAAACAAAAGAAGGTTACTAAAGTGTTTATAGTTTTACAATAACTTACATATGTTTGTCCATGTTGAATATCAACATAACAATAAAGTCGTTCTTCTTCAATTTTATCGAACTTGGTCAAATAGTTGGTATTATTATTATACTAAATGGAATACCCGGGTCGATGACTTTTGAATATAACAAATGAAAACAACTAATGCTATAATAATACAAAGACAGATACTGAAGTTGAGCGTCATTGAAAGTATAGTATAATACAAAAAAATCGAGAAACTTGAATTATCATGATCTTTTCTCATGAGATAACCAGCATCTGATGTTATACAGTAGTTAACTTATCCATCAGATAACTCGCAGATAGTTATTTTCTCTCATCAGATAACCGGTTTTGATGTAGAACTATACATGCAGTCTAATAAACCTGTTTTATATGAGATAACCAACTTCATAAATAAGATAACTAATATCTGGTTCTAGACAATTCATAATTTTTTATCATAAGATAACTTATATCTGATGCTATACAATAAGTAAAATTCTACCATAACATCACCAATATCTGATGCTTTACAACTATATTTAGTAAAATTCTAACATATGATAAATAATATCTGATGCTACACAATAGTAAAATTCTAACATAAGATAACTAATATCTGATGCTATATAATATAATAGCACCCCCACATCCACCCCTGATCGTATTCGACATACTACTGATATTATTCTCTATCTCTCTATCAAATACAAATGGGATCTGAAGTTTCTGCTCCACTGTCATTCTGGGCCAGATTTCAAAGAAATGTCCACAGTATATGAAACATATCAGCGCAATTGGATACATATTTCTTCCATTGGCGCTATATACTGTAGCACGAAACAGGTACTGTTATAGGAAAAGTCGTGTCGGTCTAAACTTGTTTCTGTCTTTCTGCTTGATCGATCTTGTGTGTACCTGACGAATTAAGTATTTGGATTGTTGTTGGTTCAATATATAATGGTATAAGTTCCATAGTACGTGACTTAAGCTAGATGAAAACATAAGGTTTTGTTACACACTTAACATAGATAATTTAACTAAACAACGGTATCAAACTCAGGTGGCCGGTAAGCGAACAGTCCTATATACACATATTTAAAGATAGTGGTCTTTCATAGTTTGGCACATGTAAGTGGATTTTCTTGTAAGTATATATTGGCAATTTAATGACCACTCCGGTCAAATGTATAATGTATTATCTATAACTATTTTTGTTTAATAATTGTCGTGTATAATAGTTACCTGCGGCTGTGTGTCGCGACACAGAGGGTCATGTCTGGTCAGTATATACTTAGTTGGCTTTCCATTCAAAAAAGTATGTCATTATTTTCGTCGAATTTCCAAATGTGATTGGCATGCCGCCGAGTTTGCACCATATGGAGATATGGATTTGATTTGTGTGATGAAATTGTTAAGGTGTCCTAGGCTAGGGGCATCAGGGGATCACGTGGCTAAGTGGGTAAGACGCTAGCTCGCTAGCCTGGAGGTCGGGTGTTCGATCCCTGCATTGGCCGAGAAAGTTCATCCAGATTTTCCGGCGTGGTTTCCCCCTTGTCAGTGATGCAGGACGGAGAGCCTGACAAGGACAGCTGTCTTGTCGTCCGGATGGGACGAAAACCCGAGGTCCCGTGTACAAATTGGCGTGTAAAAGAGTAGGCCGTAGCGCTGCTGCCCGGGCAAAATTTCCAGCATAGCACACTGTATGGCGTATGCCCGTCTTCATTAACCGTGTTTAGGAAGTAGGACGTTAAACCCCATTTCATTTCCTAGGGGTATCGAATGATATAAAATTACGCCTTGAATCAAATTGCTTCTCATTATACTGCATGTCGATTTTTGTGTATTTTGTTATGTATATATACTTCGTTGTCCTGAAAGTCCATTCATCTCCCTATCTGTTATGAGTGAAAGTTCGTGATTTGGTGATCGAATAAAACTTTCGGTCTAGAGGTGGTTCCGAAATTGTCACATTCTATGTAATGGGTTTTAACGTCCAACTTCTCTTAACTAACCTGGCTAATGAAGACGGACACATCCCATGCACTGTGCTATAATATATGAGGTAAAGTTTACCTGGACAGGGCCGCTACGGTCTACTTGTATCCATGTCCAACTGTCAAGGGATTTATAACGTACTGTCAAGGGAACTTATGAGACCTTGGCTTTTTTTTCACTCAGAAGGTGAAACCGGCAAGAAAATTCCGAACAGCTTTCTCGGCCAACACCAGGATTGAATCCGGGACATTCTGGTTAGTGAAACAACGCCTACCGAATCATATCTACTAATGCTGCTAAACTATTTGAAACCTGTTGATATTTTGGTATTCAGTTTCATTGTTGTTGAGAATTATGTTTAAAATTAATAAAATAACTTTCTGGATTCGGCTACACGAAGCAGAAAAAACCCAGAATGATTAATTTAAAATCAATGGTCGGGATAAACACCAAATTACCAGATTTATCAATGGGCCGACTTTTGTTGCATTCAGTTTCTTGTTTGATTTAATGAGGACCAGTGTAGAGAGGTGGTTCTGGGTTTATTAAAGCGAATTTTATGTATGTCTTCTATAATGACTCTGCATTTGCTAAACATGTTAATCACGCCATATGATAATTTGTCACGATTGCCCAATTATACATTTCCTTTGGATGTGTTTCCCACCAAAGATATACAATATTTGAAATGGATACAGCAGCTATGACCAAATCCTTCTTTCGAAGTCAAAATGATTGCCGGTTCTTCTTGTGGAATTTATGAAGATCAACATGTTTAGTAGCCCATCTGGCCATCTGCATGCTTTAAGCCATCGTTCGTTCATCCATTCGACGTAAACAATTAGTCAATCATTTTCGGCTTCTCACTGTAAACCGTACAACGTTTTTTTTTAACGAAATTGGTAGATATGATTCTACGGTAGGGTTTATTCAGATACAAAAGCCGTTGCTTACCTAACGTGATCTGGGCATGGACATCTTTAAAAGGGTGCATTAAGATAATCCTTTAAAATCTTCTTCAGAGTGGCTAAATGTATTTCTTTAAAATGTTCAAGATGAAAGATTCTTAAAATTAATGGGAGAGAGAGGGAGAGAAAAATGGGGTTTAACGTCCACTCGACACAAACCAGGTCATTTCGGGACTAACATAAGGTTCAATTTTATTTCAATAATTCGCTTGCGCGTAGGGGTCTTTAGAAGTGGGAGGAAACCGGAGGACCCTGAGAAAACCCACGAGGTTGGACAGGCGACCCTACTCCTTGTCACGTACGCTATTTAACTCAATGACAGACCTTAT